CGGCCACTGCACTCCAGTCTGGGCAACAGAGTGAAACTCCAACTCAAAAAAAAAAAAGAAGACTTCTTTGTATATTTTGGATACTAGTCTTTTATCAGATATATATTTTACTAAGATTTTTCTCCCAGTTTATGCCTTGTCTTTTTAAATTTTTAAATATTTATATACTGTATGTGTATATTGCTTTTATTTTTTTTAATTGGCACACAGTTGTACCTGTTTATGGGGTACAGTTGATATTTCAATACATGTATGCAATGTGTAATCAAGTCAGCGTAATTAGGATATCCATCACCTTAAACATGTATCATTTCTTTATGTTGGGGACTTTAAAAATTCACTCTTCTAGCTGTTTGAACATATACAATAAGTTATTGTTAATTATGAGGAGGTACAGGCTTCCCCCACTAGTTAAGTGTTCTAGAAACCTATTGTCATCAGTTTACCATCTAGCAATGTGAGACACAAGTTTTGGAAGAAACGTCCCAAGTTGTGGCAAACAGATGACTGGTTCTTCCACCATAACAGCTCACCTGCCCATACCAGCTGAATATTCAGCAGTTTTTGACCAAAAAAGGCATGACTCCTGTGTCCCACTCTCCCTGTTCACCCGATCTCTCCCCACTGAGAGAGTTTTTTTGTTTACCTAGGTAGTTCTTCTTGTTTACCCAGTGAGTTCTGTTTACCCAGGTAGAAAAAGTCCTTAAAAGGAAAAATGTTGTTGATGTGGAAAAGGTGAAACAAAAAATGACTGAAGCACTAAAAGCCTTCAAAATTGACAGGTTCAGAAGTGTTTTGATCAGTGGAAAAGGCATCTTGATAGGTGTGTTACTTCAAATGGAGAGTACTTTGAAGGTGATTGTAGTTTGAACATGTAAGAATAAATACACAATTTATTATAAATAAATTCTGTGTTTTTTGGGGTCCCCATTTGTATCATCAACGTACAATGTTATAGAGCATTAGAATGTATACTTCCTACCTGGCTGTAATTTTGTATTTGTTACTCAACCTCTGGCTATCCTTCCCTGCCTCTAGTAACCACTGTTCTGCTTTCTATTTCTGAGATATCATTTTTTAGCTTCCACAATGAGTGAGAACATGCAATATCTGTCTTTCCATGCCTAGCTTATTTCACTTAGCACAGTATTCTCCAGGCTTTTTCATGTTGCTGCAAATGACACGATTTTGTTCTTTTTTATGACTGAAGAGTATTCTATTGTGGCTTCTACCACATTTCCTTTATCCATTCATATTTTGATGGACATGTAGGTTGATTCTATATCTTGTCTATTGTGAGTAGTGCCACAGTAAACATGAGAGTGCAGGTATCTATTTGACATACTGATTTTCTTTTCTTTGGGTAGATCCTTAGTGGATCATATGGTTCTGTTTTAAGTTTGTTGAGGAAGCTCAATGTTGTTTTCCATAATGGCCGTACTAATTTACATTCTCACTAACAGTGCATAAGAATTTCCCCTTCTTCTCATCCTTGCTAGCATCTATTGTTTTTTTTTTTATTATAGCCATCCTAACTGGGATAAGGTGTATATCTCATTGGGGTTTCAATTTGTATTTTCCTGATGATTAGTGATGTTTGCATTGTTTTATATACTCAACTTGTGTTGAGTACTACTTGTGTCTTTTTTGGACATAAAAAAGACCTCTAACCTAGATGTCCATTCAGCTCATTTGCCCATTTTCAAATGGAATTTTTTTTTTTTTTTGCTTGATGAGTTGAGTTCTTTGTATATTCTGGATATTAATCCCTTGTCAGATGAGTAGTTTGCAAATATTTTCTCCAATTCTGTTGATTGTCTCTTCCCTCTGTTGATTATGTTGTTGGTTTGCTGTACAAAAGTCTTTCAGTTGTTTTTTTTTTTTTTGAGTTGGAGTCTCACTCTGTCGCCCAGACTGGAGTGCAGTGGCTCGCTCCCGGCCACCGCAGCCTCGACCTGTTGGGCTCCGGCGATCCTTCCGCCTCAGCTTTCCAAGTATCTGGAACTACAGGCGCGTGCTACCACACCCTGCTAATTTTTTGATTTGTTGTAGAGATGAGGTCTCGCCAAGTTGCCCAGGCGGGTCTCGAACCCGCGGGCTCAGGCAATCCACTCACCTCAGCCTCCCAAGGTACGGGATTACAGGCTGAGCCACCGAGCCCAGTTGTCTTTCAGTTTATTACAATCCCATTTGTCTGTTTTTGCTTTTGTTTGCCTGTGCTTTTGAGGTCTTCTCCATAAAATATTTGCCCTGACCAATGTTCTGAAGTATTTTCCCTATGTTTTCATCTAGTAGTTTTATAGTTTGGGGACTTACACTTAAGTCTTTAGTCCATTTTGAGTTTTATTTTGTATTTAGTGAGAAATAGAGGTCTAGTTTCATTCTTCTGTGTATGAATCTTCAGTTTTTCAGCATAAGTTTTTGAAGAGACTGTTCTTTCCCTATGAATATTATTGACATCTTTGTCAAAAATCAGTTGGCTGTTAATACATGGATTTATTTCTGGGTTTGCTGTTTTCTTCCATTGGTCTTTATGCCTTTTTTTATGCTAGTACCATGTTGTTTTGGTTACTTTAGCTTTGTAGTAACCTTTTTTGCTCAGGTTTGCTTTGGTTGTTTGGGGATCTTTTGTAGTTTCATATGAATTTTAGTATTGTTTTTTCTATTTCTGTGAAGAATGTCATTGGTATTTTGATAGGGATTCATTGAATCTCTAGATCACTTTTGATAGTATAATCATTTTAATAATATTAATTCTTCCAATCCATGCCATATATATACTTATTTATTTATTTATTTTGTCCTCTTCAATTTCTTTCATTAGTGTCTTATAGTTTTCTCTCACCTCCTTGGTTATATTCATTCCTAGGTATTTTAATTTTTTAAACTATTGCAAATGGAATTGCTTTCTTTCTTTTTCTGCCAGTTCATCATGAGTGCATGACAGTGCTACTGATTTTTGTGTGTTGATTTTATATCCTGCAAAAATGTTTCTCAGTTCTAAATTCTTTTTGGAGGCGATTCTAGTGTTTTCTATATATCAGACCTTATCATCTGCAAACAGGGACAATTTGACATCCTCCTTTCCAGTTTGGATGCCCTTTATTTTTTTCTCTTGCTTAATTGTTCTGGCTTGGACTTCCAAAAGCAGGCACAAATCTGCATCTTAATAAACCTAGAATTGCAAGTTGAGGTTTGAGTTTTCCTCTAACCTAGATGCTATGAAAGCTGGTTTAGAAAGCCATATGAAAATCTAGGAGATAAATGAAGGAACTGTATTATAACTATTTAAATGAACTTGAGACTAGAAAACTGCACAACCAACTTGTTCCTGCTCACTGCTTCCTTCCCCCACTGAATCACTGTCACTTCCCAGCTTGGGAGTCACCTCTTGCTGAGCTTTCCCTCACTCAAGTGTGTTAGAAGTCACTCCTCTGAGTTCCCACAGCACCTCACGCATAACTCTGTCATGCTATGTTGCCATGTAAGTGTGCCTTCCTGTACTGTAAGCTCCATGAACTCAAGCATGTCTTTTTTATCTTTGTATCCCAGTTACTGGCATTTGTCAGTGGTATTTGATAAATGGTTATGAGGTTGTTTTGAGTTCCTGATCTTTGGCCTCTAAAGCTTTCTGTTGTATGAAAAACAACCAGTCCTTGCCCCTCCACTCTTGGTTTACTTAGCATCCTTCTAATAGTAAAGCATTATACTGTAAGAGGGACTCACTTTAGATTGCTGACTGCCCTTTACAAGCTATGTGACCTTAGGCAAGCCACTAAATTAGTGTCTCAAGGCTTTAGTATTGAATCTTTTCAGTGAAAGATTTAACTGAATAATCTGCAAATTCCAAAAAAGCTGCAAAGCTCTGTGGCCTAGAAGCAAAGTAGAGTAGTGAAAAACTAACGCTAGTCTAGTAACCTGTGTTTACCAAGTATTTGTGTATAAATCTACCTTGCCTTGAAGATAAATGTATATGATGTGCCAGAGGAAAAACAAACGCTAAAGTAACTTGGAAGCCTGAATTTTAAATTAAGTTTGGTACAATTTGTGTTAATTACATTTTGCTATATTCTCATTATGTGACAAAATTGGATATTCACGTGTCATATGTGAGGTCATTAAGATATAACATTAGATTAATCAAGATAGTCCATAACTTCATCTTCCTGGTTAATACACTATTTAGTAAAGTTATATCTTGAAATTTTGTGAAATATAGAAAAAAAAATTTTTTGAACCAGGCACGGCCTGTAATACTAGTGCTTCGGGAGGCTGAGGCAGGTGAATTGCTTGAGGCCGGAAGTTCAGGACCAAACTGGGCAACATAGTGAGACCTCATCTTAAAAATAATAATAATAATAATAATAATTTGAATTAATGTTGGTCAGTATATTTTATTTTGCTTCAAGAAACTTGTTGTTGTTGTCTTGTTTTGGTTTTTTTTTTGAGTTGGAGTCTCACTCTGTCTCCCAGACTGGAGTGCAGTGGCCGCTCCCGGCCACCGCAGCCTCGACCTGCTGGGCTCTGGTGATCCTTCCACCTCAGCCTTCCAAGTAGCTGGAACTACAAGCGCGCGCTACCACGCCTGGCTAATTTTTTGATTTACTGTAGAGATGAGGTCTCGCCAAGTTGCCCAGGTGGGTCCCGAACCCGTGGGCTCAGGCAGTCCACTCACCTCAGCCTCCCAAGGCACGGGATTACAGGCTGAGCCACTGATCCTGGCTAAGAAAGTTTAATGAACAATATTTTTAAAACACAAAATAAACTTGACAATATGAACTTTTACTTTTTTGCTCTTTTCATGTTCTTCATGATCAAGGATTCTGATTTTTGATGTTTGTTTTTTCTTTTTATCTTATATACTTTCAGCTCACTTAGAGGCTAGTTTTGAAGAGGTAGAAAACCACCTGCTGCATCTGGAAGATTTATGTGGTCAGTGTGAATTAGAAAGATACAAACATATGCAGTCCCAGCAACTGGAGAATTATAAGAAAAATAAGAGGTGAGTTTGAAAAACAGGCCACAATATCCATCTTCAATCTGGAAGTTTCTCCCATTACTTTACATACTATTCTTCGTAAGTCCTGGCTGATAAAAAGACATAGGTTTCAACATATAAAGCTCATTGATAAGCTTCCCAAACTTTTTTTTTTTAACCGTGCTTGTTGCCATTTTGTGGAGATGAGTTCAGGATAGGCTCAGATAGTCTGAAGCACGATTCTCCACTATAAAGGTGGAGGGGAGCAGAGCAGAGGGCCAAGTTTCCAACACAGTCGCAGCCCCAATCTGGTTTTCTCTAAGAGGCAAATGACTGAGCTGCTTTTCCTTTTTTTCTCTTTTATTACTTAGAGCAGGAGGCAAGGAACCTGAGCCCTGCCTGTGGAAAGGGGCTAGATGAGTTTGCATCTCAACTCTGTCACATACTACCTATGGGACCTTAGGCAAAATATTTAATCTCTCTGAGCCTCAGTGTTACTGATTTATGATGAGGATTATCATATACCCACCTCATAGAGTTGTTGTGAGAATTAAATGAGATAATTGTGATCTAATTCCAATTAGTGCTCTGTAAGTATTAATAATGATTATTATAACTAGGCCAACCTGAACTGGAAATGGAAGAGGGGTCTAAGGGTAACAGCCTGCCAGACTAGCTGTGGCATCCCAAGTCCTGCAGTGGCCATCTTGGACAGGGCTGGAAGGTGCAAGGTGGATATCTCTGAAGTCCATGGGGGGAGGTCCATCCACAGTGGCTGGTGAGAAAGCATGAATCTGATTGGCATCTGTCTGGGCACAGCAGGAACTGAAGCTGCAAGGGGGCTTTGCTAGACAGTAGGAAACAGAAGTCCTGGGGTTGGAGGCTGGTTATGGCTGAAGAGCAGATTTGGTGGGAGAGGGAGACAGAGCAGAGTACACTGTTGGTCTTATGAGTATTGGTAAGTGGAGTTATCCTGAGTCGAGAGTGTGGCAGTAGCAGCAGGGCTGCTGACAGGAGGTGATGGTCACTGATATACCAAATAAAGGTGGGGAAAAGCTAATGCATAGGTGAGGTGGATTATCACATTAGTAAGTCTTCCAGAATGAAGCCAAAGGATGAGGCAGAGGTGAACACTGAGTATTTTAGAGCTAAAGTTCTCAGTCAGGTCCATGTGTCCTTAGAGATGAGCCATAGGAGTCACCTGGGGAGAGTGTTTCAAATGCAGGTTCCTGGGTCTCCGTCGTTGAGGAATTATTTCTGATGGTATTGCTTTGAACAAGCATTCCAGGTGATTCTGATATTGGTGATTCCAGGACCATGTTTTGAGAGACTGTTGAGTAGAGGTGGAGGATTGAATGGTTTTGTGCAGGTTCTGAATGGAAGAGCTTCAGAAGAGCTACAAGGGGGCCATCAATCCAGTTGTTCCAAAAGGTTGTATATGAGTTTTTCTGAAAGTGGTTTCCATAAATTTCATCTGCCCCATAAAGATTAGAGGAGGGCATATGGCATCCTTAAGAATGGTGTCCTCATCAGAAGGAGGCCTTATGAATGAATGGATGAACCATGTGAACTTGAAGACTTTCAGACTAATTTGTGGGCATGGGAGACAAGGAACTTCCCTCAACAGGAAGGTAGCAGAGATAGAGATGGTTAGGTTAGTCTTCCATTTTAAATGAAAAGGCAGGAAATAATATGTTGTGATCAGATTCGTCATGGAAATAACTTTGTTTATGATATAACAGGATTTTAAAGAACATGGTAGGAAGGCTTAGAATTTTGAAAGCAGATTTTTGCAGGCGGTTGGACAGTTTGGGTACAGGGCATGTGATCCTAGAAGATAGTTTTCTCATCTGTAAAATGGAGATTTTACAATCTTAGCTTTTAAGATTGTTTTGGGGGAATCAATTAGTAAAGTGCTTGGTACCCAGTAAGTACTCTGTTGGTGGTAGCCAGCTCTGGCTAACTTGTATTATTACTTTTGCAAATATAAATAGATAGGTGTTCTATTTTTTTTTTTTTTTTTTGAGTTGGAGTCTCACTCTGTCGCCCAGACTGGAGTGCAGTGGCCGCTCCCGGCCACCGCAGCCTCGACCTGCTGGGCTCCGGCAATCCTTCCACCTCAGCCTTCCAATTCCAAGTAGCCGGAATTACAGGCATGCGCTACCACGCCCGGCTGATTTTTTGATTTATTGTAGAGATGAGGTCTCGCTGCCCAGGCGGATCTCGAACCCGCGGGCTCAGGCAATCCACTCACCTCAGCCTCCCAAAGGCGCGGGATTACAGGCTGAGCCACTGAGCCCAGCTGTGTTCTATATTTTTAATATCAGGTTTTTTTAGCTACCTGGATACAAGAATTATGTGAATAGTGTGATTTTTATGTCAGTGTGTGTTAGCATTTGGTTGTTTGAAAAATAGTACAAGTATACCTTGGAGATATTGCAGATTTGGTTCCAGACCACCTCAATAAATTGAATATCAAAATAAAACAAGTTACACAGTTTTTTTGGTTTCCCAGTACATATAAAAGCTATGTTTCCACTAAAGTTGAGTCTATTAAATGTGCGGTATAATTATATCTTTTTTAAAAAGTGCACATACCCTTAACTTAAAAATACTTTTTTGCTAAAAAATGATAACGAATCATGTGAGTCTTCAGTGAGTTTTAGTCTTTCAGGTAGTAGAGATCTTGCCTCGATGCTGATGACTGCTAACTGATGGGGTGGTGTTGCTGAAGAGTGGGATGGCTGTGGCAATTTCTTAAAATAAGACAATGAGTCTGCCACACTGATTTACTCTTGCACGAAAGATTTCTCTGTGGTATGTGTTGCTGTTTGATAGCACTTTGTCCACTGTAAAACCTTTTTCAAAATTGGAGTCAGTCCTCTCAAACTCTGATGCTACTTTGCCAACTAAGTTTATGTCATATTCTAACAATGTTCACAGCATCTTTATCAGGAGTAGATTCCATCTCAAGAAACCACTTTTCTAATTAAAAAAAAAAAATTAGCCAGGCATTGTGGCACGAGTCTGTAATCCCAGCTACTCAGGAGCCTGAGGCAGAAGGATTGTTATAGCCCAGAAGGTTGAGGCTATGGTGAGCCGTGATCATGCCACTGTACCTACAGCCTGAGTAACAGAGTGGGACTCTGACTCAAAACAAAACAAAACCTTCTTTGCTCTTTCATAAGAAGCAACCCTTTGTTTTATCATGAGTTTGCAGCAATTTAGTCATATCTTCAGGCTCCACTTTTAATTCTAGTTCTCTTGCTATTTCCACCACATCTGCTGTTCCTTCTTCCACTGAAGTCTTGAACCCCTCAAAGTCATCCATGAGGTTTGAAATCAATATCTTCCAAACTCCTGTGCATATTGATATCTTAACCTTTCTTGAATCATTAATGTTCTTAATGCCATCTAGAATGATAAAAAACTTCTGATGGATCTGGGAAAAGTACATTGAAAACCTTTGTTTTCAATGTACTTTTCCCAGATCCATCAGAAGCCTAACAAATCTATGGCAGCTGTAGTCTTACAAAATGTTTTTTTTCTTAGATAATGAGACTTGGAAGTCAAAAATAACTCCTGATCCATGGGGTGCAGAATGGTTGTTGTGTTAGCAGGCATGACAACAACATGAATCTTCTTGTACATCTCCATTGGTGCTCTTAGGTGGCCAGATGCATTGCCAACGAGCAGTCATATTTTAAAAGGAATCTTTTTTTCTGAGCAATAGACCTCAATAGTGGACTTGAAGTATTCGGGAAACGATGCTGTAAACAGATGTGTTGTCATTCAGGCTTTGAAGTTATATTTATAGAGCACATACAGAGCAGATTTAACATAATTCTTAAGGGTCCTAGGATTTTTGAAATGGTAAATGATCACTGACTTCACCTTGAAGTTGTCAGCTGCATTAGCCCCTAAAAATATAGTCAGCCCGTTTTTTGAAGCTTTTAAATCAGACGTTGACTTTTCCTCTCTAGCTATAAAAGTCCTCGATGATATCTTCTTCCAATAAGAAACTGTTTTGTCTACTTGAACATATGGTATTTAACTACGTTCATCAGTGATCTTAGCTAGATCTTCTGGATCACTTGCTGCAACTTCTCTATTAGCACTTGCTCATCTTGCACTTTTATGCTATGGAGATGACTTCTTTCCTTCAATTTTATGAACCAACCTCTTGGTAGCATCTGACTTTTCTTCTGCAGCTTCCTCACCTCTCTTAGTCTTCACAGAGTTGAAGAGAGTGAGGCCCTTGCTTTGGATTAGGTTTTGGCGTAAGAGAATGTTGTACTGGTTTACTCTTCTATCCAGATCATTGAAACTTTCTTCATATCAGCAATAAAGCTGTTTTGCCTTCTTATCATTCATGTGTTCACTGGTGTAGCACTTTGAATTTCCTTCAAGAACTTTTCCTTTATATTCACAACTTGACTGTTTGCCAACTAGCGGCCTAGCTCTCAGCCTGTTTCGGCTTTCTGCTTGCCTTCCTCACTAGGCTTAGTTAGTTCTAACTTTTGATTTTGAGTGAGAGACTCTTCCTCCTGAAATCACTATTAGTATTTCCATTCAAAAGTGTTAAGAGAAATACAATTTGTTTGGATTATTGTGAAAATCCCTTGAAGACCTAAGCTTGAATTTCTATTTTGCTGCTTGCTAGGAAAGTCTGAAATGGCATCTTCTCCCAATAGAAGGCAGTTTCGTTTAGTGTAGCCACCTTCATCAATTATCTTAGCTAGACAAAGGTTAAACCCTGTTTGGCCATTCCCAAATGACCTATCCTCAGCTTTCTTGTGTGTAAAATAGAGATAATGAAAACTTCTGGCTGAGTTATTGAAAATAAGAAACTTTAAAAAAATTTGTTCTTAAAAGGCCAGATAAGATCTGGTCTATTTAGCTCACAGAATCATTGGTAGTTCTCAATTCTAATGAACTTCTCTAAAGACATATAGTAGAAATACTGAATATGAGACATTGCTGAAATAGATTTATAAATTTTAATCTTTCTGAAACTCTTAGCT